TACTTCCTTGAAAGGGGCATCGTGATAACTGTTTTATGGGCCTGTTTAAGGATTACAGGGAAAAGCATAAACCAGAGGGTGGAAATCTGCCTAGAGATGGTGTTGTTAGCACACGTTGTGTGAAGGAAAAGCTGGGCTGGGCCTACTGGTAAATCTAAGTTTTACAAGTGTAAGATTACTGATCTGAGTTCTGCTGGGCTAACTCGTAAATCTATGTTTAATTAGTAACTGATCTGCTCTTATTAGAAAAGTTCTAGTTTACTGATTCCCTGCTTCCCTTTTGTGATATTGCTGAGCTGTTTGCGCCCTATTGGCTAAAAATCCCAAGCTTGTAATTCACCCTATAAAACCTCACACACATGTCTTGAAGGTGCTCAGAGCTCGGGAGCAAAAGCCCCTCTGAGCCCGCCTGCGTAATAAATCTGAGTACTCCAACCCTCCGACTGGTGCTTGTTTCTTGGCTGGCCTGTCATTTCCTTTATATTTCTGGAGACCCCAGCGAGATTCAACCACGCTGCCCTTCAGACGCTGGACTGGTGGCTCCGGCTGATCAGGGGATGAGACTCCAATAATGAATGAGGTGCTGCCGCCCGACTGTATTCCGGGTTCTCCTTCCTGATGGTGACTCGGCACCCCCGCGTGGCTGGGCTACAACCAGAGCCAGACTCAGTGGAGGGACGGACAGATTTACCAGGTGGCTGTCCGGACAAGGTAGAACCCCCAGGGAGAAATCAGATTCTGTCCCAATGGACAGAAGAGGAGGCTGATCCCCTCCTGCAAGCTTCTCCTTGACGGTATTCCAGATGGTGAGATCAGGTTAGATTAGGTTAGATTAGGGATGCCCCGGTGATAAGGAGGGGAATGTGCAAATAGCCTCTGTACGTTTGTGTGAGTGAATGTGTGGCCTGAAGCATGCGATCAGACTTGAGTTTGTAGCTCCACGGCATTCCACTATGGAGTTCGAGGGAGTCCCAACCTGCGGTTCTGTGGGTGACCTCGTCCGGCTCAGGGCGGTTATCAACCCTTGGGGTATCGATCGGAATCAGCGGTTTATACTGACCCACCAAAGCTAAGAGGCACCTTCGTCCCCACGAGGGGAGCGGCCAGGCGGACGCAGTGAAACCCTCCCTTGTCTTGTCTGTGACACCGGCACAGGGTGGCTACACAGGGAGGGAAAGGGACATAGAACAGCGTATAAGTAAACAACCCCTGTGCCCTTGGAGACTAAAAGGAAACTACTTTAAAAACTTTCAGACGCGACCTTGCCACCAGTCCCCCGGAATATCCTGTCACAGTTAATAAATCAGCCTCAGTACTACCCCTCTGTCTAAAATAAAGCCTGAGCCAGAGCGAGCCTCCCCAGGACTGGCTGGAACCCTCTTTTGAGGTCCCCTTTTTTGGTTCATTTATTCTGCCACCGCCCAGCCATCGGGCCTCATATTTTGTCAACTTCGGCTATAAAAAAGGCTTTGTGCAGGGACCCCTAGAGCTCATCCAGGCCCAGGAGAGCCTCAGGGACACCTGCCTGTCATGGAACCTAACTCATTGGCAGCACTTACAGCCAAGGAGATAGATATTAGGCCCAGCGAGGCAGTGGGGGTTTTGAGAACTCCACTGTTTTGAGGAGTGGGAATAAAAAAAAAACAGAGGTACTGGGGTCACAGTCCTCGGTGCCAGGAGCAGACCCACACCTATAGGCCATAAAATCTGTCAACTAATAATAATGGGAGCCTCTAAGTCAAAGCCGACAGTTCTGCACTGCATGATTAAGAATTTCAAAAAGGGGTTCTCAGGAGACTATGGAGTTTACATGCCCCCTGGCAGACTCCGTACTTTGTGTGAGCTTCAATGGCCGACCTTTGGAGTCAGATGGCCCTCTGGAGGAACTCTGGAATTAGCAACAGTGCGAGGAGTCTATCAAATAATCACTGGAACCCTAGGCCACTCAGATCGATTCCCGAACATTGACTCCTGGCGGAATATCGCCCAGATTCTACCCCCATGGATTCGGTTCTGCTCAAATGGACCTGGACAATGCAAGATATTAGCAGCTCAGCTGGTCCAGGCCAAAAAGACAGAGAAAAGCCCATTTTCCAGGGAGACACAAAAGAGATGTGCCTGCCCCCTCTGTATGCCTCTGGGGCACTGACACCTCTTGTCCCACTGGAGACACTGCCACCCTCTGTGTCACCACCTCCCCAACCTGAGGACCCAGAGGCAGAGCCCAGCCCCCGGCCTGAGCCAGTAGGAAGGAGACTCCGCTCAGCACAAACCAGGAGACCAGCATCGCCGGCCCTCCAAATGCTGCTGCGGGAGACACATGGGCCACAGCAAGTTGGGGAAGATGGGACT